TAGCTCTCACTGGGAGCGTGAATGAGTTTCTGGTTTTTATTCCTGGGCAGCACACTGTTTCATTGATTGCAAAACCCCTACAGTACCATCAATAAAGAGATTTTTAATCCTCATAAAACAAACAGTGTCTTTATTTGATATTTAAGAGCAATTTAAGGAAGATAGTACCAAAAAAAACAACCCAGCTGTGCTTGATCATCCGTTTAAAGACTTTCAGAGAGGATTGATATAGCATTCTAATAGCTTGATTTCTGCCAGCTTTGCATCCCTTTACATTTTGCATCAATTATTTTCAAGGTATTATTTCTAGGTTAATTTTTCATAAGATTTCTCAGCCTCATACTTGATAACAAGTCTCTGCAAGTCTAAATGGCATTGCAGTTTCCAAGGGGAGGCTTGTTAGAAAAGAGTTTATGTGGGACTATCTTAACAGGAGTATTCACTTCATCTGCATCTTGCAGGAGCCTCTGCAAGGCTGCACCCAGGGGATCAGTGCCACCGTACAGCACTGAGAGACTCAGCACCTGGATCCAGCACACAGGGACTCAGCATTTCTAGCTGGCAATCAGGACCTCAATGCCCCAAATTGGTGGTCCCGGGCTCAGTGCCCTGAGCCAGCTCCCAGAGGGTCACTGCCACAATCCAGCACCCAGCGGATCAGCACCTTGAGCTGGCACCAGGGACTCATCGCCTCAAGTTAGCACCCAAGGAATCAGTGCACCAAGCAGGCAAGCGGGCTGTAAGCACCACGGGCCTGCACCCAGGGACACAGCGCCCCAAGTTGGCACCTGGAGGTTCAGTGCCCCAAGCCACAGCAAGGCGGGTCAGCATCCTGAGACAGTAACTCAGGACTCAGCGTGCCGAGCTGGCACCAAGAGAGTCAGTGCCTCAAGACAGCACCTAGAGAAACGGTGCTCAAAGTCGGCATCTGGGGGCTCAGCGCTCTGAGACGGAACCCCAGGTGTGACTGGCCTGGCTTAGCAGCTCAACACGGCAATCAAGGGATCACCACCCCCACCAGCACCCGGGAGCTCACCACCCTGAGCCAGCACCCAGGAGCTCACAGCCACAGTCAGCACTGGGGGGCTCATGGTCACAGCCAGCAGCCAGGGGCTCAGCAGCCTGATCCAGCACCCAGAGGCTCCTGTCCTGGCTTACTGGGACTGAATTTTAGAGTTACTTTTCTATTGAGGAAAACTGTGATTTTATAAGGACTACAGCACTCTATTTCATGGTCACTCAGCAACTGCCATCATGGGCAAAACAGACTCGACTTGGGAAAATTAGTTAATTTATTGCTAATCAAATCAGAGTAGGATAATGAGAAATAAAAACAAATATTCACATACCTTCTGCCACCCCTCCCTTCTTCCCAGGCTCAACTTTACTTCTGAATTCTCTACATCCTCCCCTATGCAGCACAGAGGGATGGGGAACAGAGGTTGTGGTCAGTTCATCACAAGTGATCTCAGCTGCTCCTTCCTTCTCAGGCTCTTCCCCTGCTCCAGCATGGAGTTCCTCTGGCAGAAAACAGTCCTTCACGAACCTCTCCAGTGTGGGTCCTGCCCACCAGCTGCAGTTCTTCACAAACTGCTCCAGCATGGGTGCTTTCCACAGGGTGCAGTCTTGCAGGAATGGACTGCTCCAGTGTGGGTTCCCTACGGGGCCAGAGGTCCTGCCAGAAAACCCACTCCAGCATGGCCTCCTCTCCACAGGGACACAAGTACTGTCAGGAGCCTCCTCCAGAGCAGGCTTTCCACAGGGTCACAGCTTCCTTAGGGCACATCCCCCTGCTTCGGTGTGGGGTCCTCCACAAGCTGCAGGTGGATTTCTGCTCCACGGTGTACCTCCATGGGCTGCAGCGGGACAACCTGCTTCACCACGGTCTTCATCGTAGGCTGCAGGGGAATCTCTGCTCCAGCACCTGGCACACCTCCTCCCCTTCCTTCTTCTCTGACCTTGGTGCCTGCAGAGTTTTTTCTCTCTCATATTGTCACTACTCTGTCCCACCTGCTGTTACACAGCAGTTTATACTCTTTATTCAATTTGTTATCAGAGGTGCTACCACTGTCACAGATTGGCTCAGGTGGGTCCATCTTGAAGCCAGCTGGAACTGGCTCCATCTGACATGAAGGGGGCAGCTTCTGGCGTCTCATAGAGGCCACTCTACAGCCCCCCCCCCGGATACCAAAACCTTGCCACATAGCCCAAATACACCAGCAACAGCCCCAGGCCATTCTGGAGAGAAGCAGGGCTCCTTGCAGGCCTCGGCAAAGCCCCAGGGCTCTTCCAGGGACAGCAGACCCTGGAAAAGACTGAGAAAGCCCTGGAGCGGTGTTGATGGAAGTAGGGCCCCTGTGGGCCCCAACAAGGCCTGGTAAAGGGCCCAGGGCTCTCTGGAGGGCAGTGGGGCCCTGACTAGACGTAAGAGACAAAATATTCAAAGCCGCCCATTAAAATCAATAAATCTGACATAAAAAGACCCCCCCTGACCAACAGGAGTGAGACCCAGAGCAGAGATGTTTACAGGGCCTTCCAGGAGAAACAGGATTTACAACAGGCCATTTCGACAGGTTCCCCACACCTATAGTTTTATAGAAACTATGGGACAAATCACGAAAGGGACTGTGTGATGGCCTGGAGATTGGAAAGCTGCTAGACAAAATTGAGCAGAGAGCACTGCCCTGGTCCCAGTAAAGCCCAGTGAAAGCCAGAGGGCTCTTAAAAGGGCAGAAGGGCACTGCCCAGGCCCTGGCAAAGCCCAGCAAAGGACCTGGTGCTCTTTTTATCTGGACTCCCCCCCCACCCCAGAATTCAGCAAACCCTAGTGAAAGCCCTGGGGTTCCCTGGAGAGAAGCAAGCCCCTACCCAGGCTCCAAGAAAGGCCCAGCAAAAGCCCCAGGTCTCTCTGTAGGACACCAGGGCCCCACATTCATCAAGTTCCTATCACTCCAGTTTAGTGGCAAGAATTTGAGGGGAGGACTGTGTCTAAAGCCTTACAGAAGTCCAGATTAATGATATCCATAGCTCTTTCCTTTTCCACTGATGCAGTCACTGCATTGTGGAAGGCCCCTAGAGCAGCAAGGCATGGGTTCGCCCTTGGTGAGGCCATGTTTGCAGTCTTTAATCACTTTAATCACTGCCTGGCAGTTCACAGCAGGGTGACTGAGAACAAAGTGTCACTTCTTAGGACAGGTCCTTTCCAGTTCCATTTAACCCCTGCCCAGAAGCTCCACGCTTTGCAAAGGGAGGGTGCACTGAAGAGCAGCCATAAGCGAGGCTGAGCGTGGACAGAGCTGCTGGAGTGTTCCTGGGCTATTTATCCTTGGTGTTAACCTTAAAGGTGGAAGTGTTGTATTGAGGTGGGAGTGGGGATGAAGAGTCCCTGGGTGTCTGCCCTCCCACACTGCCCCACAGTAGCCACAGTGAAGGGTGTGCTTTTTAATGTCAATTATAATAAAATATTTTTACAGAGCCCAAAAAATTCAAAATAGTGCAAAACATCTCACTGTCATGCATCCATGGTAGCCGCCGCCGGCGGTGCCGCACGGGGTGGTACAGACACACAGGCATCGGTGACACATGTGCTACAGGAGCAGAATTGGTCGGTTCAATCACATGCCGAACAGGACAGTTTGGGGAGGAGGCACGGGGCCAGGGGCACCACAGTCAGGGGGTGCGGGGCTGAGCCCACGCCTGGTCGTGCGGGAGCAGTGGTTAGAAAAGGGGTGTAAACATTGAACAGAAACAAGAGAGGAAACCTAAACCCTTTGGTCCCAGGCAAACCCTATAGAAAAAGGACCATGGGGGCCAGTCGGGGTACCCTGTTTTGGGAGTGGGAAGGGGCTGAGAGAGGTATATTGACTTGTGGGGTCATCAGGCCTCTGTCTTCCCTGGTACTTAGGGCAAGCTGGCCAGCTGGGGTGGCCATCCCCGACACTGCGCACCCTGGCCTCCTGGGCACTCGCACAAGACACACACACCACTGATCACGCAGAAATGGTGGTTAATGGGAAATTGGGGTGGGGGGGTGGTCCTCTGGGTTGGGAGTAGGAAGGGTCTTGCTTGCACCAAGGAGGTTTCATGGGCGCTGCTGCACTGCACAGGGATGGCTGGTTCCCCACTGGCCAGAGCACAGGGACATGGATCCTTCTGCTCCAGTGCCTCCAGACATCGCCCCCAAGCCCTGGCACCCTGGGAGTGGTTGTGAGGCAGCCCACAGTGGTGGCAAGGCAGGGAAGACAGGATGGGGGGCGGGGGGGGGGCC